TGCACTACAGGTATCTCCGAAAGTATCTATTGTTTTATGCGGATCGAGACTGGGATTTGTCACTCCGTGTAAACGGAGAGGTATCTCTGGGCCCACTCGGTAGGACATCATCATATGCGCAATGTGACCAAGGAGTTGATCACGGGATGATGTGTTACGGAACGAGTAAAGTGACTTGCCGGTAACGAGATTGAACAAGGTATCGGTATACCGACGATCGAATCTCGGGCAAGTAAAATACCGCTAGACAAAGGGAATTGAATACGGGATCGATTGAGTCCTTGACATCGTGGTTCATCCGATGAGATCATCGTGGAACATGTGGGAGCCAACATGGGTATCCAGATCCCGCTGTTGGTTATTGACCGGAGAACGTCTCGGTCATGTCTGCATGTCTCCCGAACCCGTAGGGTCTACACACTTAAGGTTCGATGACGCTAGGGTTATAAAGGAAGTTTGTATGTGGTTACCGAATGTTGTTCGGAGTCCCGGATGAGATCCCGGACGTCACGAGGAGTTCCGGAATGGTCCGGAGGTAAAGATTTATATATAGGAAGTCCTGTTTCGGCCATCGGGACAAGTTTCGGGGTCATCGGTATTGTACCGGGACCACCGGAAGGGTCCCGGGGGCCCACCGGGTGGGTCCACCTGCCCCGGGGGGCCACATGGGCTGTAGGGGGTGCGCCTTGGCCTACATGGGCCAAGGGCACCAGCCCCAAGAGGCCCATGCGCCTAGGGAACCCTAGAGGGAAGAGTCCTCAAGGGGGAAGGCACCTCCGAGGTGCCTTGGGGAGGATGGACTCCCCCCCCCCTCTTGGCCGCCGCACCAGATGCCATCTGGAGGCTGGCCGCCGCCCCTTGGGGTGGGAAACCCTAAAGGGGGCGCAGCCCTCCCCTCCCCCTATATATATTGAGGCATGGGGCTGCCCATAACACATGATTTGATCTCTCGTTGGTGTAGCCCTGCCCCTCTCCCTCCTCCTCTTCTCCCATGGTGCTTGGCGAAGCCCTGCGGGATTGCCACGCTCCTCCTCCACCACCACGCCGTTGTGCTGCTGTTGGATGGAGTCTTCCTCAACCTCTCCCTCTCTCCTTGCTGGATCAAGGCGTGGGAGACATCACCGGGCTGTACGTGTGTTGAACGCGGAGGTGCCGTCCGTTCGGCACTTGATCATCGGTGATCTGAATCACGACGAGTACGACTCCATCAACCCCGTTCACTTGAACGCTTCCGCTTAGCGATCTACAAGGGTATGTAGATGCACTCCTCCTTCTACTCGTTGCTGGTCTCTCCATAGATAGATCTTGGTGATTCGTAGAAAAATTTTGAATTTCTGCTACGTTCCCCAACACTTATCATCAAATTCTATATAAGACATGAAATACACACAATCATGTTAAGACGGATATTTGGGTTAAACCAAATTATGCTAAGCTTATGACTTGAACATATCCCCCTAAGGTATCAGTCTTCATATATCCGAAAGTATTGGAGAAGTTCAATATGGATATATTATAGCAAAGACACATATGGTCATGTTATACCTAATATGGGATATAGATCCTTGAGACATAGGGGAGATGGTGAAGTGATAGATGAGCATGAATTGCCATATCTAAATACCATCGAAGCAGTCATATATCTTGCAAAATATGTGAGGCCTGACACTATAGTTTTTGGCAATTTATTGAGAGTGCAATTCTCTGAAAGGTATAAGGTTTGTGTAAGGAATATCCTGGGATATATCCAGGGCACGAAGGGTCTTGATCAATTTCATTCGAAAAATCAAGATGGGACCATGATTTAATATATTGATAGTGGCTAATTATCTGATCCCACAATGCCATATCAAAGACTGGGTTTGCTGGTAGAGTACTTTGAAGGAAGTATTCAGAATAGACTCTAAACGAATCCTTCCAGTGATCATTCTATTTCATTTGAAGCATCCAAAAATATGGATGACTTCATAGAATGATTGGCCACATGTGAAATCATGTGGAGATTATCATTATCTACCAAGATAATGTCACTTTGTATTGCTTATGGGTTATATTTATCCTTGTGAATTACAGAAACGTAATAGGATAATATGCAAACAGATTATTGTGATATTCACAGTATCTCTATCCATGTTTACATTCCAGAACTAGGTTCGTGGAATTGGTATGAGATATTCTTGAGGTTTGCAAAGTTTAGGGGGAGTAAAATCTCAAGTTATAACCCGTTGGTGATCCTCAAATCACTCATATTGTACTCCTTTTCCCTTTATGAGTTTTCCATGATGGTTTCTCATATAAGGTTTTTAACGAGACAATATAAATACAAGTGCGGATATATGCCATATTGGTTTCTCTTTATATTTTTCCCACTGGGTTTTAAAGGAGTTTTTGATGGCATATTATTATAAGGTTTCTCCTCAATTTTTCCCACAAGGTTTTTGGAGGAGTTTTCAGTTTGCAATATACATATGACGAATTGATCAAGGGGGAGTGTTGAGAAATAAAAACATGTGATCAATTGTATGGGAGGGATGCCTCCCAAAAGCACACCCCTTCACCATGTATATAAGTGGGTCTCCCACATTGCAATGGAACCAGTAGATCATTTGTGTCTCTCATTTGTCTCCTTTACTTTGATACTACAAAATGCATGACGTCTCACTCACCCCAGGAAAAGAGCGACCTCCCATTGCCATCGCTGCATTTATATGTTTCACACACTAGTAGTACGTGACATCATAATTTGTTGCAAGTTGGGCCAGTTTTTTATTTGTTGAACTTTGCAGGTTGGGTTAGAATAATCTTGCCGCATAAAGAAGGATTAATTTGCGAACAACTTGGGGTTAGATGGTTAAAGGGACAGTGTTACACAGCCCATCACATCAGGGTTTAAATCTTGATGCTTGCATTATTTCTAGATTTATTTCAAATTTTCTGGCGTTGTGCTTTCACTGGGGGGAGACGTTTTCGTTGATGACGAGACGTCTATAATAACTTTGTAAATCTCAAGATGATAGCCGGCTTAGCATGTTGAAGATGCTAATATGGATAGAATGTGCGTGTATACACTTATAAAGATGAGTGAATGCATGTATATATGAGTACTTGTGTCTGTATTATGTTAAAAAAAGATTGATCCCCGTCCAACTAATTCTGCATGAATTTTGGCGTGTTTTAACAGTTTTTGTGTATCACGTAGGACTAAACTGGTGTGTGGACATTCATCCGGTCACCCACACGTTCTTTTTATCACACGGGGGGCTGTGTGTGGGCGTTTAACAATTCGCCCACACACGAATTTTCACGCACGCAGAGGGGGTGGTGTGTGGGCGTTTATCACTTCGCCCACACGCCCGTCTCCTCGCTCACACCCAAAGCTAACAGTTGCCATGTGTTTCTGCAGGGTACATGGCAACTGCCCTAGCTTTCCTTGTAAGCAGATGTCAACTCTTTTTTACCCGAGTTGCCATGTGTTTTTGCATGGTACATGACAACTGTCCTAGCGTGCACATAAACAGATGACAACTCTTTCTCTTTACATGGCAGCTGCCCTAGCATTGCCTGTGAATACATGGCAACTCTCTCTTTTACTTAAACATGTTTTTTTGCCATGCTTTTTTGTAGTGCTACACGGCAACTGCCTAGTGTTAGTGGGTGGCAACTCCTAAAATTTTGAAATCATGACAACTGCAGTAGACCAGACCATACATGGCAACTGCAGTTGCGCAACCATGGCAACCGAAGTTCAGCGACATGGCAATTACAGTTAAACGAACATGGACGAGGGTCTGGACCATGACAACTGTGGGACGCGCGGTGACTGTCACGCGGGGCGTGCGGGACCACGAGGTGCGAGGCTTAACGTACGGGGCGTGTGGGCATTATCTATTTCGCCCACACGCACGCGTGTGAGAGGGATCGAGAAAAAAAGAGGTGTGTGGGCATTACTTGTTTTTTAAGCATTGGGCATTACTTGTTTTGTCCACACGTAAATGTGTGGGCTGTTCCTCTTATACATCTTTTTATACACCACACAAAATGTGTGAGCAGACTTCCTAACGCCCACATCGTATTACACTTATCGGCGTCCTTTTCCTAAGAAAAATAGAATACGACCCACGCCAGGCGACGCCGGGGCAAGCCACACCCCGACGGCACCGATCACCGCGAGAACTTTGGCGTGTACGCATTCGCGTGACACGACGTCAGCGGAAACAGCCATCCGCCGCGGCGCCACCCCGCCCGCCCACCCGCCCGCCGTTTATAGCGAACCCAGCGGCCGCACGCGGGTGCGCTCGGCACCCCACGTCCGCGCCCCTCGATTCCACAGCAAGCACCCAACACGCCGCACGCGGCACGCGCCCGAGACGCTCGTACGGGCCGGCGCACCCTAGCCGGGCCGCGATGCCCACGGCTAACGTGCGCGCGGCGCAGCC